AAAGTAAGGCTAGCTTGTATTTCAGGGTCTGAATAGGTTTTCTCGTATATTTTCTCCAGAATGAAATAAGGTAGCTGATTTTCAACAGTATCAAGTCCACTTGTAAACCAAACATCATCCGAGGCTCAGGTAATATAGGAACTTCTTCACAGAAAAGGTTAAAGAACTGCAACAAGAATTCGATGACGAATACAGCATCCAACAGAATCATCTTTACAAAATCATCACTGCTACGATTGATGTTATAACAGCCTCGAATTTCCATTTCATTCTTTTGAACTATGGTCACAAGATCATCCAATGTCACTTTCTTCCCATCCATGAATTCTGCTAAATATCTCAATTTTTGCTTCTCCATTGACACTAGTTCCTCATGGCCACAGTGAGCAGGGCCTAGTGAAACTACTTGTGGGGTGTAGGCCTTCGGTTCTATGCTTCGAAGTGAGCGGGGTACCTCGTAGATACAGTGCTCGGGACATTTTCCAGGCTTGAACCTTGCTATCCCATCTGCTAGATCTTTCAGAACATTTGAAGAACTTGCCGCTTCAATCTCCTTTCCCGTGTTTGAAGCACTTGCCTTATCAATCCTTTTTTCATTATTTGAACGTGTTGCCATGCCAATGTCCTTATTTGAAGCACTTGGGGTATTAATATCGTTTTCCATTTGTCAAGAGATTTTTGTCCTGGAGAGACAGCCAAATGAATCACTGGCAATAAAAATAGATCTCCAAATCAAGTGTACCATGGTTGCTACAATCTTAGATTCATTTCAATTCACATTTAAAACGATTTATTTTTGTTGTCCAGCCACTCTTAACAAGTTTTAAGACCAGATCAAACAAATCAAAACAAAACAACTGTATAAGAAACTATTTTCAAGGAAAGTTCATGTAGTTGATTGAAAAATACAGAGCAAATCATGGGAGATTACATGTGTATTATGGTTATATTTGATTTCCCATCATCCTGATCCATAGATTATATAGGTGTGTCATGTAGAATATTTTCTTAACATTATCTATGATATGATCTAGGTCATGTGGATCCGTAATTTTATCATTGTTTTGATTCAGCTCTAGCAATTTATTTGTTCAATTTGTTCTGTGTTTAGTTTTTTTTTTTTTAATTATGAATGTTGAACCTCTACTGGCCTTAATTAACCCAAATTGAGATTTGGGATTAAGTTATGTCATGGGAAGTAAGAATTCTGCTTCACGATTGTCAATTGAATGTTTTATGAAAAAAATATAAATTCTCTTTTTTATCATGTAATGATCTATCTGGGTATTTCATTGATCTATTATTATTATTATTATTATTGGTTGCATTGAAGATGAGGCAGAATTCATGAGAACTAAGAACATCATCATTTACTAAATTCTTTTATACTTTACACAGACACACACACACACAAACTATTGTTTTTTGGTCCTCTAGCTTTAGCTTTCAATTTGTTTTTCCAAGGAGTCATAGCCTAGTTTTGTAAGATTTAACATGAAGGAAACCTAACAAAATATAAGAAAATCTGGACAAAACAGATGAAAACACACCTAAGTGCATAAAACCACGAAAACATAATAAGTTTTAAGGCCTAAATTGAAAAGAACAAAAGTTAAGGAAACAAACAATATAATTGATTGTCAATTAAAACAGATTAAAACCAAATATAATGTTGAAGAAAATCTAACCAAGGAGTCATAGCCTAGTTTTGTAAGATTTAACAAAAAAAAAAAAACCTAACAAAATATAAAGAAAATCTGGGCAAAACAGATTAAAACACTCCCAAGCGAATAAAACCACGAAAACAACTCAGACCATCTTGTTTTAGTGTTGTTCTGCAAAAAGCCAAAACTGTTTTCTGCCAAGTATAGAACCATTTTGGAATATTTATTGCTCAAGCAATTATGCAATTGCCTTTTCCAAAGGAAAGTTGTGTGCTGGGATATTTCTACGTGCACAATTCCTTCGGAAGTAGCATGTATGGATATCCTATACAGCTTATCAGCTGTGATTTTACGAGAGAATAATCTTTATAACGGAACTATTAGCCAAGAATTGAGAGAGGCTACAGCCCAACCTCTTTCATAAAGCCTAAAAGACGAAATCCATTTATCATTATGAAGTAAGAACTGCTAAATTAACGGTTTAATTGAAAACTTTAAACATCTCGTCGTTATTAGACCAAATATAGTGAAACAAAAGAAAGAAAAAGGACACGAAATGTAGCTAGTGCGCAAAGAACCTGAGTGCCTTTGCCTGAGGAAAGCAATTGTTTTGTTGTAAGCAGCATACAGCCTCTTCCCTGGATATTGCTATATACTGATCTGTTAAATGCTGCCTTCCTCTCTCACTGATATGTATATACGAGTAGTACTCCTCTCTCTCTACTTGTCATCATTTCTCTCTCTAGAAAATCTCCCATCCAAAGATATTAACTTTTTAAGTTTTATTCCGTTATGTTATTTGTTTTACCCCCCTTCACAAAACCCTACCTTTTCACCATCATCCTCAACAACCCAAACCCTACCTTTCTCATATCTGGTTACCTTGAAAGATTCCCTCGCTCCTGGATGTCGTTTCGTTATAAAGAATAATATTGTTGATAAAAATATTTTGTCAAAAAAATATTGAAATACATTGACTTAAGAAATACATTTTTTTTTCTTTTAAAATCTAGATCTTCCTAACTTCTACAAATATTGATTTTAATTATTATATAATTAAATTCAATAAAAAATAATTTTAAAATTACCCAACAAGCTCCTTGCAGGCCCACAAGCTACAGTAACTCCGGCCAAGGACAAAGTATTTAGTAACGAGAGATAAAGTTGTCTGTATCTTCCGATGTGGGTTGCTCTCTTTTTCGTCCTTTGACAGCCTGTTCATTCCCCTCTTCTATCACACACACCACAGAAAAACGACGGTGGGTGTGTGGTGGGGATGGGACTTTGGATTTCTGTGAACGATGGTAGTCAAATAGCCCCACGATACAGTCTCTGTCCACAGCGCGTGCTTTGGACCACATATTTCACCGCGCTTTGCTGCGGGTAAACTATTTAAAAAAGAAATAATTAAAATAAGCAGGTTTTTACCATTTGTTTTTTACCAAAAAATTCTGAATGCGAATTGAAAAGCTCTACTATATATTTAATTAAATAAATTAAAAATTATTTATATCAATAAATATTAACAATGAAAAAAAACTAGAAAAAAAACTTGTGTATTCAGGCTTGATTTTTATTGAATTGACTTGTACATGGGCCAACTGTAATATTTTTATTGAATTGACTTGCACATGGGCCAACTGTAATAGAGAGAGAGAGAGAGAGAAGATGGCATAAAATAGAAGTTTTTTTGGAACGTATTAAAATATTGACACCGACAATCAATTAAAGATGCTCTTAATTAATTAGTTAATTAATTTTTACATTAGTGAAATTAATTATGAGAGTAATGGAGAGGGGAGCACTACTCCTATATGGCTATATATAACACGCACAAGAGGCACAAGTCACAGAGAATGCATGGAAGTGTGAGAGAGGCTGCCATTTTCAGCAAAAGCAGTGTATATTGCGTCCAGGATCCGAGGAAGCTCTGCTGTTTGATCCCCTTTTGTAAAATATTATTGCTGTTTTTCACAGGCCAGGTACTCGGTTTCTCTGTGTTTTTTTTTCCCTTTCATTATTTTTATTCAGCATATAATTTCCTTTTATTTTAATAAAGCTAGTTTTTAAATTACTGCATGATGTAAGTTGTCTAATTAGTTAACCTCATTGATTAAATATAAGCTATCTAATAAGACTCATTAATTAAATAAATTAGCATGAGCAACCTGACCCTACCCTCCTGTGAATATCGGGTTTAATGATTAATTAAGAGGTACACTCCTTTCTTTGTTAATTATCGAGTTTAAAGATGGTTTAGTTTGTCAGTGAATTGAAAAGAAAATAGTTTTTGTTTTATATTAAAAATAATTTTTTAAAAAATATTTCATGAATCTTTATTATATAATAAATTAAATGAAAATTATAGTGGATAAGCTTTCTTAGCACGCTTTCTAATATTATTATATAAATATTTATAATATATATTAAAAAAAAGATACTTGACACTTGAAGTTTAATTTGTGGTGAGATTAATTCTTTAATGAGTTATTTTTTTTTCAATTAATTTTGATGTTTTTAAATATTAAGATAAAATTAAATAACAATTATTTAATTTAACTTAATATGCAACTGTCTTATTAATCATTATATAATTTCATTAAGACATTTAATTCTATATAAACTTTTCATTACATAAAGAGATACATAAAAGAAAGTTTTTTTTTGTTTTTATTCTTTTAAAGTCTTAAATGAAAATAAATAAATATTTTAAAAACAATATTTTTATCATAGGTGCATTTTATGGTGAGAATACGTGAATAACATAAACAGAAGAAGTTCAATAGTATGAATTAATTTCCCCGTCAGAAAAAATAAAATCTTTTAGGAATTTAAAGATCTTTCACAATTTTTTTGTATCCTAATTAAATTTTGGTGAACTAATCCATTATCTTGTTAGATAAATCACTTAGTTTCATTGGAAACTAACAGCAAATATTAGCATTGTGTTCTGTTGCATAAGGAAAAAAATTCAAACGCGTAGAAATAATTAATATTTTTGTGAAATAGATTCTATTGGTAGTACGTAACTGTTGTTTATTTATGTTACTGGACAGCAAAATTTGATAGATGGGAGAGATTCGTTCACCATACTTTTCTATTGATCGAGAACACCTCAAAGATAATGCTGAAATTCGTTCACCATATTTTTCAAGTGCTGGAGACTACCTTGGAGTTAATGCTGAAATTCGTTCACCGTATTTTTCATTTGATACTCAAGATTACCATGGAGATAATGCCGGAATTCATTCCTCGTATTTTTCAGCTGCGGACTACCATGGAGAAGATGCTGAAAGTCCTTCTCGAAAATTCTTTCACAATGATAATATTATTGAGAATCCATACAACGCAGAAAATTTTGTTGAGCAGGATATTGTTCAAAACATATACAACACAGAAAAGCTCATTCAACGGGTAGAAATTGAAAAACTGTACTCGGATCTAGATCTTGAAGCTGGAGCAGAAGATCGAAAAGTGAAAAATCTAAATGATGAGAAATGTATCTACAGAGTTCCTGATGCACTTCGGAAATCAAATGAAGCCATCTATACTCCTCAAGAAGTTTCTATAGGCCCTATTCACCATTACAAGAAGAAGTTGCAGCCCATGAAGGCGGAAAAGGGGAGATATTTGAGAGAATTCCGTAGCAGGGTGGTAGGGAAAACAAAGGAGCAACAAATGAACTTCATGGTAAAAATTTGGAACACCATTAAAGAGGATGAAGAGAAGATCCGCCGATGTTATGAAGATGGTGCTCATGAAGTTGTAGAAAAGAATCAGTTTGTGGAAATGGTGTTGTTCGATGCTGTTTTCATCTTGGAGTACCTATTGAGGAATAAAGATATAGAAAAATATGAAGATGATTCCTTATTGCGTAGAAAGGGGGCAAGGTTTCGGATTCGACGAGACTTCCTGTTGCTCGAGAATCAGTTGCCATTCTTCATTCTTGAGAAATTATATTACCATCTTCTTCAAGACAGCGAAGGAAATTATACTTCTTTTCGAGATCTTGCCTCCGAGTACTTAACTAGGTACAATGAGAGGACATACAAGCCGAGCGACAACAAGGAGATATTACATTTCACCGATTTGGTCAGATCTTCATTATCCGTCAAACATCCAGATTCGAGGATTGACGAGCCGATTGGAAAATTTTACAGCGCAACCAAGCTGCATGAGGCAGCGATTAATTTTAAGGAATTACGAAATGAATGCTTGCTTGACGTAAGATTTTCTTCTACAAAAGGTGAGTTACGTATGCCACGTCTTCTGATAGACGTCAACACTGAACATCTCTTCGGAAACGTCATTGCCTTGGAGCAGTGTCATTATAGAGGAGAAGAGTACATCTGCCATTACATTAAGCTACTCGATACTCTTGTTGCCAAACCCAAAGATGTGGATCTCCTCATTAAAAATAAAATCATTGACACAGACAGAGATGGTGCTTCTGTGAAGAATCTGATCGACAAGCTTTCGGCTGAAACTTCTGAAGAATATTCCATTTATTATAACCTCTACAAGCAGCTGGATCAACACTACCGGGACTCCTGGTTGAAAAATAGCGCATACTTTAGAGAGGTATATTTTGGAAATCTTTGGAGAAGTACTGCAACTGTTAGTGCTGCTGTCTTGCTGCTCTTCACTTTTGTACAAACAATTTGCGCAGTCGTTGCGTTGCGCTAGCAATCCAGGGGGACCAACTGAGCCCCAGTAATTTTATATCTCTCATTGTTGCCTTTGGTTGTATCGCTTGTGTACTTTCCGTTTCCTTTGCGGTTTTTCATTGTACTTCAACTCATGGGCTTTCTTTGTATTTTGTAGTCATGAATTTGTAATATAATTTTGATTGCAGGGGATTCTGATCGGTGATGTTCTGATATTTGCTTATTAAAAGTTAAGCATACTGACATAATATTTAACGTGGTTCGGCAAATCACATGCATCCACGGGAGAGTCAATATAATTAGAGATAAAGGATACAAAACAAATACATGGAGGAGGGGGATTATACCCACTCATACTCAACTCTCAGCTCACACACACTGCTGCAATAGCAGCAAGGCTGCTGTCCTTTGGCAGCCTCTCTTTCTCTCTTCTTCTCTTACATACACTCACCATTTTTTCTCTCATTTTTCTCTCTCATGTATGCCTCTTTTATAGGCATCCATGACAGCTCTTCTTACTTTGTTGTCAACATTGATGGCTACCAACTCCAGCTCATTCAACAATGGTGGCTGTCAATAGTCAATGGTTGGTGCCGTTCATTTACTGCATATGAAATGACAGCAAACCTAACAATCACCCCCTTTGCCATTCATGTGGGTAATTGTTCTCTTGCCTCTTCAGCATATACTTGCATTATGCAGCTCTTCCAAGCTTACCATTCCGAGAGCGTCTGTGGCCAAGTTTATAGGTACTTGCCAAACCTTTCAATCACTAGAGTAATCAAAGCATACATTTTCTCACACAAAAGGATCACTACAACCAAATAGTCTGCCACATCACATCTGAATAGTGTTAACGCTTGTCTTTGGAACAACATTCCCCTTCAAGCGTATCAACCATGCTCGATCTGGAATAATTCATCAAAGCTTACAACACCCCCTCAAAGGGATATTCCAAGTGCGACAGTCATTATCTAAGTATCTCAATATGATCATAAGCTCACCACTCTTCCAAGAGTCTACTCATCCAAGAGTTGCGTCTGCCCTCTGTTCCACCCTAGGAACCACGCCTTACTTCTCCATGAGTCTCCTGCTCTTAGTCTTAAGAGTCTAGGTAGCTTTCCACCTTTAACCATGGGGGCAGCCCATAAAAGGTTGATCTATATCTGTCTTCATACTCTAAGTATTACAATGCCATTACCGAGCTCACCACCTTGACAAGAGTCAACTTGTTCCCGAAACTTGCGCATGCCCTCTGCTCCTTCATAGTAGTCGCATCTTAATGCTCCACAAGTCATCCACTTATTGTCTAAGGCAAATGTCTTTTGGCTCATTAATCTTTAACATGAGGGCAATATCCATGAAAGTCAATCCTGCATTTGTCTCCATACTCATCATAACCACTTCATTGGCTATCCATCTGTCCATTCATATCTAGCCATCACATCGGCTCTAGGGTGTTCTATAATTGGGGCTCATCTCATGGCCCTCACACCTTCTCCTGAGGTGTTTTCGCTCGTCGTCATACGACGATTTGATCTGGGGCATCTATCACAGCCCTCACACCTTCTTTAAGATGTCTTCGTCTTTCATAGGCAGTCACATCCTCCTTTAGCTGGGACACTTCAAAGTGGCTCCAAAAATTCTCTACCACCATGTGGTTTATGGGAGAGGTCACTGCCACTAATTATATAGAAAGAGAAAGTTGCGGTATACTCATCGCAATCCTCCACCTTGATTTCTATGTTTGGAGCTTTTGTGTCTTTTTGCTTAACAGCTCCACCCACAACAACTTTCTTTGGTGTCTTCGCCTTTCATCATAGGTGGTCGCCTTTTATCACAGGCGTTTGCACCCCCTCAATTAAATGCATCTACAATAGCTCATCTTTCCATCCTTGCATGCATTGGAAAGGTCCTCACTTGTTGCCTTTATCAACAACACAAGAGACTTCTTGTTGTACAACTTTTTCACACAGTCTCTGCTCTGAGCTTCATTTGGGAACTCTTCTTCTCCTTGCACTTGTTGTCTCATTATAGTACCTCGTTGGATCCTTCGGGTACTCCTGCACAATTTCTGTGTGCTCTTGTGCAATTTCGGTTCTCTTGATTTCTCCCTATTCCTTGCTTATGTTTGACAGTAGCTCATCCTATCACAACAACTATCCAAGTTAAAATAGGATGCCAATCTTTATCCCATTGTTGTATTTCTCTTTCATTATCAAGGTCTTCATTAATTATCCCTTCGAGAAATTACAGTCACCGAATCTAACTTCTTTGGAGAAATCACCACTTCATCAGATCCTTGGTCATACGGAACTGAATTGTTCCCTTGTGCCGTCATATTGCTAATCTTCAACCATTTCATTACAAACTGCTATATATACGAAAATAGTACCGTATGGATAATCTTTCCACTAAGCAAGTTCCTAGAAAAGATTGGAGGGGTCACAACGATTCCGCTTAAAACCCAATCTCCTAGATAGAACTTTTTAGGCCATATCTATCCATCATACTGTCTTTCCGTATATACAACCATTTACTAGCTTTGTCGCGGCTTTCCTTTACAAGTGATCTGGGGTATCTTGGTTTTGTACCTGATTTCTCAACATCTGACGAGACTACTAATGCTTAGATTCGTCAAGATTGGTCTTCATCAAATTTCACTCTTCACCTCAAATTGTCCACATGATCTGGTGTTCAGAGTGTCTCAATTTTGCCTTATTTCAAGGCAATTAAAATTCCCACATAACAGTTCAACATATGTAATTGGGCAAACATGTGTGATTTCTTCTTCTTCATATTCATCGACCACCATGATGACCTTCAGATGCCTCTTGATCGGGCAATCTCTCTTCAATAATTCACCACCACCATTTCTAGTCTCAATCTCAATGATCGGACCATACCATTGCATCCGGAACAATCAAATTAGTTGAAAACAAGTCTGAAATCATTCAAATCACACTTCAGACGACTGTGATTTCATTAAAACAATTCTGGCTTGATCAGTGGTCTAGATTCAATTTCAGATTCGGATGCACATAGATTCTGCTACACAGAATCCTGTCCCTCAGCTAGTGGCTCAACTCAGCTCGGCTCATTTTTGGCTCGTGGCTGGTGATGTGGCAGGTGGGTCCCTACAGTGCTGACGTGTTTGATGATGTGGTGATGACATGACATGCCACCTGTGCATGCTGACGAAACTGTGGCGTCATGATGACATCATCATCATTCGGATCTCGTGCGTGGGTTAGATCTTCTGGTATTCGGGTCGGGTCAGCCCATCCTGGTGAGGAAGACGCGTGTGACACGTGGTGCGTGTCTGCGCACGTGTCCAGTCACCCCGCCAGCGTGTGATGGCGCGTGTGGCGGTTTCCAACGTCCGATTTCGACGCAGTTTTCACCAATGGCTTCGTCTCTTCCTCCTCTACATAGTGGTATGGTCAAAATATAATTTTGACAACTTTTATTTTTGAGCCAAATCAAACACCACTTTAAACCATAAGCTCTGATACCAATTGTAGGGGATTTCGACTAGTGATGTTCTGATATTTGCTCATTGAAGGCTAAGTACACCGACACAATATTTAACGTGGTTCGGCAAATCATTTATATCCACGGGAGAGTCAATATAATTAGAGATAGAGAAAGGATACAAAATAAATAAATGGAGGAGGAGGATTACACCTACTCATACTCAACTCTCAGCTCACACACACTGGGCAGCCTCTCTTTCTTTCTTCTTCTCTTACATACACTCACCACCTTTTCTCTTATTTTGCTCTCATGTATGTCTCTTTTATAGGCATCCATGACAGCTCTTCTTGCTTTGTTGTCAATATTGATGGCCACCAACTTTAGCTCATTCAATAATGATGGCTGCCAATAATCAATGGTTGGTGCCATTTATTTGCTGCATATGAAATGATAACAAACCTAACACTGATGGATGTTGTCTTTCATTATTGAGTTTATCTTGCAAAATTCGAGAAGTCTCTGTCGTAAAGAGTCCGGACCGTCTGAGAAAAGCAAAAATTATCGTATACAAAAGGACCTGATACTACTCTAAAATCCACTACCTTCATTGTTAAGAAACTGTATGACGAGGCAAACCAATGCTTGGCCTAGCAGTGGAAGGGGCTTATCTCCTTCCACTGCACCTGGGTTCAAGCCCTGTCGTGCACGCCTGTCACCCCCGCGATGCCTTACATGCCTACTGGGTTTGCAGGGTATTCAGTGAGCCATAGGAATTAGTCGTGGTGCGCGCAAGCTGGCCCGGACACCTCACGTAAATAAAAAAAAAAAAAGAAACTATATGACGAGAGATATTACCCTACAATTCTTCAACTTCTCTATAGTTACTTTGAACATCGCTACGTGCCTGCAGTGGAGGCAAAACCTCGCCCAAAGGAAGTAAAACATTTCACTGATTTCATAAGGTGTTCTACATTGATTGAGCCTGGTCCTCGCAACCTTCATATTCCTATTGAACTCAAATATAATGCAACCATGCTTCTTAAAGCAAGAGTTAAGTTTGATAATAACCATTTGCTTGACATAAGATTTGATGACGGGGTGTGTCGCACGTCAAACAAATCAATACGTGGTGTTCAAGAATCGCCACCTAATATTTAATTAAAGATTACTAAGAAATATAATTGTACTTGTATTAGTCTTGTCAAAGATTCACAGGTAAGAAACTGATTATAATTAAGAAAAATATTAACACCTCTAACAAACCCTACCTGATACCTAAGATAAGCTGCTTATTAATTATAATGTGTTAAAAAAGTTTTAAAATATTTTATCTTTTCATCGGATTTTAAAAATACAACTTTTATAATTATAATGTGTTCAAAAAGTTTTAAAACCCTATAAATTTATACTTCTACACTGTAATCTAATCAAATCAAAGTAGTAAATTCTTCTAATTTTATCATAAATAAATAAATTCTTCTTTATTCTCTATAATTTTATCATAAATAAAAAAAACATTCATAAGATAAATACAAGCACACA